TGTTGGGAGATTCGGATGCAGTGGGACACATAATACCAGATTTCGAAAGATTTCGGTACGGGAGGTGGTGTGGTCCTGGAGCCTTCACACCATAATGGCCAAAGAAGGAAGAAATGAGGTTCTCCTCTTGAGGTTATTATATTCAGGCTTGCCGTTGCTGATCTCACGACTACCTTAAAATGCATGCTGAGCAAGCCCCTGAGGCAAGACGAGGTGCTCACATGCAGCCCTCCAGCAATCCTCTGCAGAGCGGTCTCAGGGCTGCAGGCCACCTTCCTCGGGTAGGACTGATGAGCCCAAGCAGTAGAGGACACCAACAGCCTTCCCGACACAACATCTGCCCTCTCTGCCAAAAAGTGTGTAGCAAGCGACCCATCTTGTTACTTCATGGGACTGTCTTACAAACTTTAGGTTAGTGTTGCTGACCAAGATCTGGATGCTCAGACTACACATAAAGCACATCCTTTAGCTTTAGTCTCTATCAAACTAAGTTCTTGAGTCTTGTGCAGGCTTATATTCACACTATAAACAAAATGAGAAGTTCCCGGACCAGGCTGTCCCATTGCCCCCACTGCTATTTTCACGGTGGGCACAAAGACTCTGCGATCATGATTCCAAGGGCAGTTCAGGCTGCTGCACGGCTATTCCCAGTAGCAGGTCACCCAGGACCTATGTTCCTCTCCAGAAGACCCAGCAAAGCTTACCAATAACAAGATCATGCCTCAGTAACTGGGCTTGGCGATGGAGCATCGCACCCAGCTTACCCGCCACAGCTGGACGTGGCCCACACGGCTGACTGGCTTTGCGTGTTAGTTGGTAGATTCAGACCTTTAAGCGCACTTGAAAAAAAAGAGGCCAGGAGGCAAGAGAGCCTGACAGCTTACTCTGGTGCAGGCACCGTAGCTCCATTTCCCATGCAGAAAGGAATTTTTAGAGGAAGATTGGTAACCAGCTGTGAGACGTCCCGAGCCCATCTTTGATTTCTCCACCTTTCAACACCAATGCAATGGCTACCAGTAACACCAGCTTGAAAACATGGCCGTGAGAACCACATTCTGGTGGAATCCATGAACTTCAAGACAAGATGAAAGTCCAGACCAGACTTTGGTCTTTAACCAGAGATGGCCAGTAATGAACTTCACTGACGTGAAACAGGAGGAAACGACACAATTGCATCAATATACCAACGTTGCTTCCAGAGAGACCTTGAGAAAGCTGTCGGCTCCAGTCAGTTTAAGAACCATGCACAGTCAAAACCCAGCAGAACCAGCTAATGGTACAGACTTAAGAGGACAGGGGGTTTTACACAATTAGAAACATCTTTTTTTCTGCTAAAACATCTTCCACTTTGTAGTTAAGATATTGTTATCAAAGGTTTTCCTTGTAAACAAGAAGCTTTTGTACCTGTTGAAAACACTCCGCAGTGGGGTTGCCCTAGCCAGCTGCCAGGCCATCCAGGTGCAATCACTGACCCTGCTTTGAGATGCTACATCCAGGAAGGTCCAGCGAGAAGTTATGCAGGCCTCCCCAGCACGCCTGAAGAGCCAAAACGCTCCTTGTCAATAGCAGTTTATTATGATAAAACTGGCTTTACAAGGAGCTTGGGATTTATGGGACGGTATGAAAAAAAAAAAAACCTTTACAAAACAAAAAAAAGGGGAAAAGACACACATGCTGCAGGAGCTCATATTTGTTCTGAAGCAAATGTGCTCACACTGAGATTTTTCTGCCAGGGCTAATGAACAGAGCAGTAGGTAAGCTGCTTCAACTCCCAGGGCATTATTTGCTCTAGGTCTAAAATACAATTCCCTCCGTATCAGTCTTGCTCTTTATTGCACTGCAGTTACAGCTCTCTTTGAAGGTAACAGATGCAATGAAGAATGCTCAAAAATATTTCAGTTACAACCTCTGCTAAGAAGTCTGTGTCTGGGGCCTTCTACCGAGTCTAACCCAGATTAATTGCAATGAACACTTGTGGCAAAATACTGTGTTTTTATTCAAGGCTGCAAGATTGTGCATATTTACCTGGGTGTTGTGGTTTAGCCCCAGCCAGCAACCAAGCACCACAGAGTCGCTCGCTCACCGTCCCCCCCGGTGGGATGGGGAGAGAAGCAGAAAGGCAAAAGGAAGAAAACTTGTGGGTTGAGATAAGAACAGTTAATAACTGAAATAAAGTAATAGTAATAAAACTAGTAATAAAAATTGTAATGAAAAGGAGAACAACAACAGAGAAACAAAACCCAGGAAAAAACAAGTGATGCAACTGCTCACCACCCACTGACTGATGCTCAGCCCATCCCCAAGCAGTGATCGCGGCCCCCCCGGCCAACTCCCCCCAGTTTCTATACTGAGCATGACGTCATATGGTATGGAATAGCCCTTTGGTCAGTTTGGATCAACCCTTCTGGCTGTGCCCCCTCCCACTTTCTTGTGCGCCTGGCAGAGCATGGGAAGCTGAAAAGTCCTTGACTAGCATAAGCAGTACTCAGCAACAACTAAACCATCAGCGTGTTATCAACATTCTTCTCATCCTAAATCCAAACCACAGCACTATGCCAGCTACTAGGAAGAAAATTAACTCTACCCCAGCCAAAACCAGGACACTGGGCTCACATGATTATTGCAGGTTGGTGATGCTCTTTCTAGCAAAAGGAGAGCCTATGCTGTCCACTTTTATTCAGATGACTTAACACACTACCTACAGGAATTGTCATCCCACCATCGAGGGCTGCACAGGCCAACCTGATGATCTCCAGTTCTACAATTTTCACATGCTGCAGAAATTAAAGATCATGTTTTTAGGAGACAGCACTGCAACCTGGCCCCAACGTATCTGCTAACAGCCACTATGGCTGAGGATGCTGAGATGAGAACGCTATTTCCTCAGTTGCACAGACTCCAGTTACCAAGCCGAAAGGCTTCAAGTGGAAGGATGACCAAACTGTTGACGTGAAATTTGGGTGGGGAATATGCCATTTTCAGCTTATGTTGCAATACCTACAGGCAAAGTCTGGCAAAAGACAACACATGCGTGCACAAATTAGTTCCATGCATCTGTGTATGTGTATATACGTACATATATATATATGAACAGTGGTCGACTGCTCTCCGGTTCCTCATCAGGAAAGTCTGTGCCAAGTAAGTTGAATGTTTGCAATCTCTTGCACTCTTACCAGCACGAAACTTTTTTTTTTTTTTCCATTTCCTGTACTTGTAAAAAACCAGAAGACATAAGGAAAAGATTTCAGTTAGGCTATCTTGCTCACACTTTGGAACCATCTCCTCACCATGTGTGTATGCAGGTGCTCCAAGGCAGTCATTTCCTGCTGGATAAAAGCACTCTGTTTTGATGTCAATCATGTGGGACATTTTTAAGCAGTAGTGTAAATATGCAGTATGAAGATGTGATCAAGCAAAAAGCATTTAAGTCAAGTGATACTTATTTAACCCAGGATTTTTTAAACAAACACATACATATGTAAACAAATAAAGATTAAAAGCTGTTGTGTTTGAATGAGGATTAGCTAATGACACAGACTGGACATGAAAAGCTTCACTTCTCTCACAGGCAGTAAAAAGAAACAGAACAGCTAACAACTGCATCAAAGAGGAGAATGAGGAAAGCACATCTCGGTGGAGTCCAGGGGTGAAAATAATTATGTTCTTAAATGCCAATGTGGCATATGCCAGATATTACTGAAAAAAATACAGGCATCTAAATCTGTATTCCTAACTCAATGGTAATAATTTTCTCTAGGTTATGACAACACGTAAGTGTAAGCCTATCTTTAAGGGAAGAAACAGATCTATGCCTGTATTGCAAGAGTGGTGTAACAGAGCAGTTACAGCTATAACCGGTATTTCCCAATTTTCCTTTCCACTATTGACAAAAACACTACTTTGATCCTCCCAAGCCTGTTCAAACTACGTTGGAGAAGCTAAAGCAGAAAACAAAACACACACACACACCTCCCCCAAACCCCACACAAGAACTCTGCTCCCTTTGCTAAATCAACACCCATCTTTACCAGCCTGAAACGATCATAAAAACATACACTGAATATGTTGGGAGATACTGTTTTTCTGCCTGAGGCAACCACATGCCTTATGCCTATATTAAAAAAGAGTTGGCCTGTTTTATAATACCCACACAGGCTGGTGAATACCAGTCATTGCCAAGGTCTGTTTGTTTTTCTCTAAAAGTCTGTGGAATACACTCAGCCAGAATACCTAGCCAAGCAGTAACAAAGATGTTTAAAAACATTTTGAATACGATTTACTTTGTATTTTCTTCCCTGTTCTTTGTAGAAAGTTAACATCATACAAACAGACATTTAATTCCATCCTTCCCCCAGTCCTCATATTCACTGATTAATTTAGGAACATTTAAGACCCACCAATAGAGCTTTAAATGCTCTGAGCTACTTGGATTACAGTAACTTGTGAAGCACCGTGCCCAAAAAGAGACACTCATGGAAATGGCAACAAATGATGAAAGGGTTTTATTGTGCAAAGATTTCAAAATGCTGGAAATCCTTTTGCATTTCCCATCACTTCACTTTTTCCTCCCCGCCCCTAGCTGGGAATAAGGAAACAGCGAAGTTATTCTATAGCTGGTTCCCACCACCACAACGTTCTGGTTCCCATTGCGCTGTGCATTCAAGCAAAAACAAGAACAAACATTAACAGCTCCATTCCCATCCATCTACTAGACAGGAACTCACAGATGCTTCATTATATACCTCCTGCTGGCACTGATGAGGCAGAAGATTTGTAAAGAAAGGAGGGTAAGACTCAGACAAAACACAAGAGTCACTGTAATTGTTCTCATTCCTAATTCTATTAGCTAACGTTAGCCAAAACACCATGCTACTTTAAGCTTGTCCTCACTGTTAAAAATACAGGCATTGTCAACAGCATCTCGAGAACCTTTCATGGATTGTGCAAGTGTCACATACATGAGTTTAAAGAAGGTAAGAGGAGGGAAAAAAACCAGGACCATTTTGTGTAACTGGAATTTTATTTTATATATAAATAATAACAAGAGACTGAGGAATTTTGAGACTTGCTACTTGCAATGCTGATCCTGCAATGGGACAAGATGGGCAGACTTGAGTCCCACTGCAGAACTGAGGACAAGGTCTCAAGACTGACCCAAAATACATAGTGTCCTTTCACAGATTCCATACCAGAAGCCCAAGCAGCACACCATCAGTCTTTCTCTCCTGAGGCAGAAGGCAGATTAGTCACATTCAAAATCAAAATGGATTCAGACAGTTTTCCTCTTTTTCTTGGGAAATGTTGCTCATATCTGTACTTTTTGTCCACCTATAACCAAGGAAAGGGGACAGAGGATAAGGGGGAGAGGGAGGGAGAAAGCAGAATTAAATATCATAAGCCTTTTCTTTCCATTGTCAAAGTGCAATTACAACTTTGTTCCTCAAATAGATTTTGATCAACCTGCCACATCAAAGAAAATTCTCAATACCAATTTACTTCTAGTACAAAGATTTAACGCTTCATATTGCTGACATAAGAGCATTAATGATTATGTCTGCTCTAGAGAACTCGATTCCTATAGTTGAACTGTGTGGAAATATAAAAGAGAAAGAACACTTCACAGCCACAAAACACCAACTGGAATCTTGTGTAATAAACCAACTTTCTCAAAGAGACTTCTCTTCAATTCCCATCGGTTGCATTTTTTCCTAACCTCGCTTACTCTGGTGTAAAGCTAGGGTAATTTAACTTGAAGAAATGGAATTACATAAATACAGAACCTGAACAGAGTGAAAATGAGATACGCTATCTTCACAGAAAAACACAAAGCCATGTGACTTCCGCGCAACTCTTCAGCACAACAGCTGGATAAAATTAAAGCTTGCTTCTCCCACAATGGGATGTGGTTTGAACTGTAGTTTGCATATAATTATTGATGACAAACATACTATAATAAAGGAGGTGCAATGCTGCTGTTCTTTGGAATGGAGAAATATGTTACTGTCTCCAACCCGAAGTGATTTTGTCCTTGGCTGATCATTCACAGTTCAGAGACCCATGCTGTGGCAAATCTTTATGAGGGAAATGAGACTGTATTCATTTTAGTAACCAGATTCAACTAGGAATATTGCCAACAGCTGAAAATACAGTGACACTTTCAGGACTGATCTCGTTTGGAATAAACAAATACATCTTTTCAAAGATCACAGCAGCGTTCTCCAACCTTTGGGATCACCCAAACCCAACAAAACATCTGGACTTGGGTATGGATTTAAATAACTGGATTTGATTTCAAGCAGAAGTAACAAATTGCCACCCCCACACAACAGCCGAAAATTGATACTGAATTGAACTTTCAACCATCTGGCTGCTCTAGGTCAAAAATCTAGCAGTTCCATTTATGTACCTCCTCCAGAAACGTGGCAGAACAAGCAGACTTCAAAACCAGCAGCACCCAGGTACCTTAAGCACCTGAGCAATTATCTTAACTCTTTAAAAAGAAAGACAGTAGAACATCTGGGGCACCAGCTGTTAGTGAGGTTTTCCTCAAAACTTACTTATGTAACATGAGTATATTTATGATTAAAATCCCAAGGACAAAGGGTCTGGATACCAACTTCAGTATAAGTTTTCCTGACAGCTTTGCTCCTTTCCTTCCACCCACGCCCCCTTAAAAAGAAAATGTGCCTTAAGCAAAAAGCATTTCAAAAAGTGAATAATGACTGACCAGAAATTATATTCACATAGTAAGAAATGCTAAAAGAAAATAAAAGGTATTTATGGGTTTCTGTTTGTAATGAGCCTTGATATTTGCACAATGTCCCACACACATAAACAAAAGTTCAATTTTCCTGGCTTTTTATCATTTAGTAGCTCTGTCCTAGTTCACAATAAGCACAGTGTTTTAGTGAATTTTAGAAAAGCTTTTCTTCTTCTTGGTTCTCCTGGGTATCTTTACTCAAAACAAAACTGTTCTATTTTTTTTTTAATTTTTATTTTACAGGGCTATTTTATAAAATACTTGGAAAACACGTATTCTTAAAGACTGTATATTCATATGGCTGAAGGAAAAACTAATGCACTCATAAATCAGCCAGCCAACATACCTTTTTGCCCTTGTGAGAATTAGTTATAGCAATTAAAAACACATTAAGGGAAATACAACATTAGAAACTAGTTTTGCTTTTAAAGCTGACTGTGTAACAGTGGAAAACCGCTGCTCAGCAGATGCATGTGTTCCATCATATCTGCAAACATTTGCGACTAGTGATGACGCACGGAAGAAAAAAATTGGTGGAGTTTTCTAAATCCAGACTCTATTTACACAGTTGGCAGTTAGGAAAAGAACAATTTTACTGCTAAATGGAACACTGCATACAAACATAATGAGGAGTCCCGACAATGCTAGGATTACTTTCTGATGAACAGTAAGTCTTTAACACAATGTGAAAATAATATAGGGCAAAGACAAGCAACTAGAAAACACATTCAGAAAAGACATCCTTTATCAACTGATAGCAGAGTAGACATCTGATTTTGTAGTAAATTACGTCCAATTATATTATCACTAGCAATAATAAGCCTCAAATACAGAGCAATTTTTGTCCTATGAAATTGAACCATCTTAAAAAAGTTGAGAAGGTGGTTTCGTTTTCCTTTTCTAGAAACTGTAACAATCACAGGACTTGCTTGAGTTCAGAAAGCAGCCCAGTGGCCAAGTCAGAAACAAAAGTGGCATCTCAACTCGGGTTTCTGGCTCAGAGCACTGGGAAATGCTGCCTCTACTTCCTCCATCATTCGTTCCCAACTGATGAAGCATGTCTCATTAGGGAGGCGCATCAACATGAATGGTCAGGCACATCGTGGACTGTTACAGGCTGTAAGATAACGCCGTACCCTGGCATTGACAGATCTTTAGAGAAAACGTTATCAGTAGGAAAGGCGTTTCTCTCCCTTCCTTCATACCTGCGCAGGTGTGACAAAGAAGGCAAAGAGGTTTGTGGTACAGGGGGCGGGGGCAGAAATGGGAAGGAAAGAAGGAAAAAATACCCAATACATTAACAAGGCCTTGCTAAATTAACTCGGAACCTTTGGAGGAGACATACATTTACTTGCTGTGCTCTAAAAATGAAGAATTTAGATAAGTTAAATAGTGTTAAGGAGCACGCATATTCTTGAGAAATGTTAAGATGAATCAAATTATTACCTCTCTTCCCCTCTTTATCATTATGAAGAAGGTAACTGCAAGTCAAACTTGCAAATGTTCAGCTTTTCCAGGTTATTTTGCTGCTGTAGCCACATACTGTTACCAGTCTTTATCCTTTACCTGTTTGATGCCAAGTGATCTGGTGTTCTACTTCTGGGCTTGCTCTTCATTTGAAGCAGCATGGATTTCCAGGGGCTTGTCATCATTTGCATCACCCTTGAGGAGGGAAAAATTTCACAAAATTGCACAAAATTTCAACTGAGGCAATCCATGATTAACGTTTTTGCTAGAACAGAAGCCCTCTTCAAAAGCTGAAACAAAAACTTCTTGCAAAATCAAGTGGTTGATGAGACTAATTCAGTATATTATCTTCTCCCAAACGGTTCCTAGATTTTAGTCTTCCTGTAGTTAGCTGAGCAATTAAAGGATTTGAAAGAACACGTAGTTCAACAGAAATGCTTTAATTGACTCATTTTGCCTGCACTAATAACAGAGGATGAGTTCCCACAGAGTAGTTGCTATTTTGCATTCTCTGAATTCTGTGCGGATTCATACAATAGGTCTCTTTTAGTACATATCCTTTGAGAGAATGTTCTCACACTTTCCCCGAAATAAATGGTAGACATCAAAGAACGAAGAGAGGCTTGTTAGAGCGTCTCGTCTATCTATTTGCCAAGTATGCTATAACAAACAGGCATTTGATTATAGTTTTAAATAGGTATCAATAAAAAAAATACTTAAAGGGCCACACACGTGGCTAGGGGACCGAAGCACATGACACACAAGGACAGGCTGAGAGATGTGGATCTGTTCAGTCTGAAGAAGACCAGACAAAGGGGGAACCTAATGGCTATCCACAGTTCCTTAATGGGCATTTACATATTTGGAAGAGCCAGACTGTTCTCAGAGGTTCACACCAAAAAGACACAGAGCAAAGGACACAGAAGCATGGCAAATTTCTATTAGATCTAAGGGGAAAAAAGAAAAACACATATCACTGATCGAGCACTGGAACAGGTTTTCCATACAACATTTGAATCTTCATTGTTGGAAATATTCAGAACTTGACTGCACAAGGCCTGAGCCACCAAATCTAACTTCAAAGCTGTCTCTGCTTTGAACAGGGGGTTTGATGAAATGATCAGAGGTTGCACCCAACCTCAATTTGTCTTAAATTCTACACATGAAAATTAAATGGCATTTTTTTTATTCTAAAAAGATATTTTTACCAATATGACTTAAATGTAATGGCAAATGTAACAAAAGAAGCCAGAAGAGACTGGCAAACATAAACATTTCACAGGATGGGTCAGATTTATGTCCCAGCACAAATTAAACACTATGAATAAAGCGCCGAGTCAACGAGACCCTGCATATGCTGCACTGGAGACAGGGACTCAATACATCAAGATTCATCTATGAAGATAATTCTTAAATTTCTTATTCAAAATATGTCTAGCAAGATGCAAGGCCTTTAAAAGGTAATTCTTTCTTTTAAAAACCCATTTTGTTTTGATCACTACCCCAGATATTTCATAGTGTAGGAAATCACATCCACAAACCACACCCATTTCAAAATAATGATCTACACCATAATTCCCTGTACAGGATCTTGTAAGTTACGACATTTTACTACAATATAATGAATAATCTGACTCACAATGCCTCGTCTCAGGGATTACTCAATCCCGAACAAATGAACTAAAAATAAGTTGTTCACAGAGAGTTCTCTGTTTTTCCACTCTCTTGTTTTAACTTGTAAAAAGCAAATACGATCTAGGTAAGCTTCCCCCAACCCCCACCCTCCCCCGCCCGAAAGAGGGAAAAAACCCAAAGCAACACACACACAGACACACAAACGTACAGGAAGACAGGGGTCTTGCTCAGTTTCTTTGTTTCTGTGAGTTCAGTAGATCTCACCACTAGATCTATTGAGCCCAAGTTATTTAATTCAAGCCAATCCACCGCTAAACTGTCATTCCTCACACAAACTTGTTTGCTGAAATAGGAATTAAGAAGTTCTTTTACCTCCACCCACTGTATGTGCCCACTATGTAAATAGCGAGCCTGAGTGAGACTGATCAAGCAGTAATATGGGGAGCCAGAAAAGGCCGTCCTTTGAGCTAGCACAGGACATAAACACACCTAATTTTACAACAAAGTGTCAAGGTCCTCTAGTCACACTCAAAACCAGATTGGAAGCAAAAAACGTGTTTAGATCAATGACCCAGAAGACAGGCCGCCTCTGTGCCATGATGCCCTCTCATAATTAGAACCAGGCACATTTTCAAGACAGTCTTTCTACTTTCTGGCTCAACACAACCACTCCGTAATATACGTGGGTGGCCAGAGGAGTTCACGCATCAGAGCTCTATCCCACAGCAGAAGGGGAAATATTTTGCAGCATTCTTACGCATCTGACGGTTTGAACGGAAAGGCGACTGATAAGAAATCTCCATAACACATTCATTAGTAAAGTTGAAAGGGCTAAACCTCTGACAATACCTGACTCAGTTTTAGTTATCTGCTGAGACATATATTTCGAAGAATGTGACTCCTTACGGAGAGGTTCAGACTTTGAAGAATAGTATCCGCGAATTTTTGTATCAAAGTGTTCAATACATTGGAATTCCATGGGATTTAAAAAAAAAAATTTAAAAAATCATTATTTGAAATTGGAAATAATCTTGGAACTAAGGGGACTGTACACAATGCTTTTTGTAAGGTTTCAGTACATGAGTGATCAAAAGATGCCCCAACTTAGCTCACAGTATCTAACAGAGATACATTGAGACCTCAATTTGAAATAACACACACACAAAAGAAGCAATTATTTCTGTGAAAATTTTCCTTCCATACAGAGAAAAATGCCAAAAAGCAACGTAGCCTAATGTCAAAACTACAAATGTGGGGTGGCTTTTTTCTCACATTACAGCCTAGTCTGATGCAGAAGTTAGTTTCTGTTGCTCCCTCTGAGAAAGTCTTGCAGACGGCCAGGCCCTTTTACACTGGCACCTAACCTCAGAAATTGTAACTCCAAAGGTAAGTATACATCTCTTATGCTTATGGAAAATTCCTGAAAGGTAGTCTGGCCACCAGAAAAAACACACACCTGCAAAAGAAAAACAAAGGCTCATCTGGGCTCACAGATTAATAATTTACCTTTTCTTCTATCCTCTTTTGTTTGCAATGTATTGCTTAGAATAAAGAGAACGTCACTGGTTTACCTTATTCATCCTCCCCTAGTCAATCAATAACTTATTCTCCATCTTTTATTTTTAGCTGAGCTTGAACTTAACTCTCTCAGAAACAGGAAGCACTTTTAAAAATATTACTCTTAAGTTGCCCTAAAAAGCTCAACTTTTCGTGGAGTAGATTCTGTCTTTCCTACCTCTAACACATTTAAATTCAACACAGCCCAAACTAAGGATCCAATCCAAAAGAAGTAATAATTTTTACAAGTTTTACTCTGTTGTTGTTCTTACTACCAAACTGTAAAAGGAGAGCATATGACAGGGAACAGCATTTTCTGTCAGAAGTAGATGTTTATCTTTTAGTTCAGGTGGCCAAACTTTTGCTTGTCTGTTCAGAAGCTACCCAAGACAAGTCTTACAAGCATTTAGTGTAGAAAGCAGCTCTCTCAGCTGCTTATGTTGTGTTTTAAAAGATCCTCAAAACACAAGTGACTTAAAAACTCTCCTCTCCTTGAAAACACAACTTAAGGTTTGCTACAGTCATAATCCACAATGCTTATGGTAAAGGTCCCCAGTCAACACACTGACATCACAACTTCCACCAGAGCTTCCAGGTGAGGATAATCCAGGTCCACAATTTCCTTGATGCTTGTTCCGAGCAAGTGCAGGAAGCAAGTACCCAAAGCTGAGCAGTCTTTGCACTTGGAAGCACTCTGTCACCAGCTAACAATTAATAAAATACCCAGACACAGCTATATAGATATAGCTATATTTGTAATATTTATGTATTTTTATATGTGTAATAAATATGTAGAGAGGTTAAAAATATGTAATATATATTAGTATTGGTAAGTCACAGATGGCTTCTGTCAACAGACCAGCCAGGAATGAAAACCTAACAATAAGCTGCAGGAGTTTCTCTCAATCTCTGAAGCTGTTTAAACAACCAAATGACAGCAAGAAAAACAAAACAGTTTTTTCTAAGGTCTTATTACTGACTGGACCAAAGTGGGAAAGAGCACACATATGAAGAAAGGAACAAGACCTGAAAAGGAGGGTGTTTTTAGAGTTCTAGCGCTGTTCTGGTTTTTCACATTTCAGCCACTTCAGTAAAAACAACAGGTGCCCAATTCAGTGTTGGGGGAAGAGAAAGAATCCAGAATAGCTGAAAATACAGCGAAAGTCTTTGAGTGGTATAAAGACAAGACAAAGCAAGACCTAACTGAAGAAAACTGGTTTTCTATGTGTTTCAGTACATATTAGCTCACTGGCTGGAACAAAACCTGGGTTTAAGTGACTTGGTGCCGTAACACATTCCCTTGTCATCTGAAGATGAAGTCATTATAGTATGAGAGCTAACAACCCTACAGCACAATACAACAGCACAAATTATGGAAGTATCGAAACCAGAGGCAGAAGAGGAGGGGCAAAAAGGCTGCATTTCATGAAAATAAACCTTAAATGAGCTGACTGACAAACAGGACCCAACTGTTAGAAACTTACAGGTGGTATGTATTGAACTGTGGCTCTGAAATACTGATCTTTAAGCAGTTTTCTGTAAAGAAGTTATAATCCTTTGTATAGAAAACCACAGCCCTTAAGTTTATGCTGTTGAATAAAATCCTCAAGCTGCTATGGTTCGTCTGTCCCCCTGACCTACGGACAGGTATTAAAGCTGATAAACTCAGCCAGTATTAAACAGAGATTGCTGTGGACAAGGGAAAAAGAGAAGCTGCAATTCACTGGCTTAACAGTTCAGCTAGTTCAACACTTTTGTAGGCACTGGAAGGCAAAAAAGTGTAGAAGAAAATAAATGTAGAAAAAGATGATCTTGCATGTACTCTGATATCACTGGTCAGAGCAGAGGGACTAGTTACTCACAAAGACTAGCTGAAGGCAATGCAGGGTATTGGCCTTCACAATTGCAAAACCCCAGTAATTAAAGTCTGATGCCTCCTAAGGCTACTCAAAAGGGTTTCAGATGCATTGTTCCAAAAAACTATGTAAAAGCATAAGTTGGTA